TTGCTGGATCAGTAGGGTGCTCCGCACATACTGATCCTGTCCGTTTTTTGACGGTCCATCCCGTTGTTGCGTCTTTGCACCAACAGCGGACCCTCGTCCCTGCCCCTTTCTCCTGGGTGGACGGTCACTACGCCCAGTGTTGCGAGACACTGGACGAGGGGCACTACACTCATAAGCGTAATGTCCTGTCTTCTGACATCTGTTACATTTCTGCAACTTCTTGTAGTCTGTAGAGCGAGCCTTCTCGCTCTCTACATAACAGAGTTCCATCGGCTCTGGACCTCCGTTGTCATATCGTCTCGGTTGACGATATGATGTCGAGCTGGCGCGAGCCTGTCTCAGACTGAAGTCTTCCTGTTCCGCAATGGAAATGGCTTGTTCTAGTGAATCTAGTTCAAGCCGGAACAGGTGAGTCTTGACGGGACCATCCGCAAGACCCTGCATGAACACCGAAACCAACGTGTGTTCATCCACCTGATTGGAACTTATACAACTCGTGAGATGTCGTATATGTTGAGCGTAAGCGTGTACATCACGCTTACCCTGCTTGAGCTTCAAGAGTTCGGTTCGAGCTCTGAACTCAGCTCTAGGCGGTTCAAACGTTTGTCTGAGCCGCGACTTGAAGACTTCCAACGACCCAAACGCATATGGGTCGTGCAACTTGAGCCCCAGTGCCCAAGTCTTGGCACGTCCTGCCAGATTTGATTGGGCAAATGCAGCTTGCATTTCCCCATCGTCGATGCGACGCGCCCTTATGGCGTCGTCTAATTCGACAAACCATCTCAGGAGGGAGTCCTCTTCGACTCCCCTATACTTGGAGATGTCAATCTTCAAGGTCTCGGGTCGACGCGAGTGCATCGACCCACCAGCAGCAGCCTGCTGCTGTCTCAACAGTTCAAACTGTTGAGCACCCTGTTCTCTCAACAACTCTGCTTGTTGAGAACCTTGTTGGTGAAGCAAGGCTACTTTCTCGCGTTCAGCGTCAAGTTCATTTTGAATGAACTTGACGATAGTAGCATGCTGGGCATCTCTATTGAGAGCCTCTAGCATGACGCTAACAGCATGGATGCCCATGGTTGAACCCATCCGTTCAACCGCATCCCATTCGACATCGCTCAAATGGGAGTAGCCGTCACGCGTAGCGTGAAAGCTTTGGTCATCTTCATCATCTAACATATTCATGTTAGATGTGAACGTGGTCCTTGGACGGACTACAAAGTGCTACCAGGTGTAACGGGGCACCCTGAAGCTTGTACTGATGACAGTACAAGCTACTTATTCTGATGACAGAATAAGGCGGTGCCTCGTGACTTCACGTACACTCGTACGTGCAGAGGAAAACTGTAGCGGAGCTACACAGCTCCTTAAGTCAGAGGAAGACTTAACGCTCTACGAGCAACTTAGTTCCAAAGAACTAACGACTTTACGAGTCAGCAAGCTTTACAGCTTCAGATCCCTGTTCCAGGGGACCTAACGATTCAGTGAATCGACAGCACTTAGTGCTCAAGAGTAGCTACCTCAAGGAGGTGTTGCTAACTCTTAGTGATCAGAGATCAACGATCAAGACGGCTCGCAAGCCACGCGTCTTTCAGATCAAAATGGGAACTGATTTTATTTAATGTTAAAGCCTATAGAATATCTTAATCCTACTCAAAGATCTTTCGTATCTAATGGCTGACACTTGTCAGCCCCTACAAACCGATAAGATATTCTATATCACCTTCACAGAAGCGAACCCTCAGGTGTGTAACACCTCTGGTACAAAGTACCATGATTTCGTGCAACCCCGTTACACCCTCCCCCACCAGACTGACGTTTACCCAAAACGTCAATCGAACTCGTATTCTCAGCGAGAACAGTGCGCGTACGGTGAACCTCACGGTAACGTACGCTCTAGCACGATGTCCTCATCACCAAACGAGTCAAAGGCTCTGTGTGACTACCTCGGAATAGAGGAGGAGGTGGACTATGGTAGCGATACCAGTGTCCGCGGTGACACAGGGACAACGTCCGGCTCACTGATGCCTGAGGCACAACTTTCGAACACCCCAAATCCGTTCGCTGAACGTGGAGGTGCGAGCGCGCCGCCAGCGCAGCGTGCAGCATCTTGGTTTGATGAGACTATCATCGCGAACCCGCTCGATGAGCAACAACAACTGCTTGTTCAAAGAGAACAAAACGCTCAGCGTTATGCACAGATGACTGCAACCCTTGAACGCCAGCGTGATTATGTGTTCACCCCACCCAGTGTGGAGGAACGTCTGCGTCAAGCGGCCGGCCAAACATTGGCAACGTGGGTCATTGGCCATGGGCCTAAGACTCCTGAGGAGGTGGTGAGCTGCCAGGCACTTCGTGAGAGGTACCTGGAGCCGCACCTAACGACTCAAAGTCAATACAAGGCACGCCTTGACATGCAAGCACGTGGTGCACCAGTTCCACCGATGAAGGGTATACCCATTCTCCTGCTCGCAGGCGAAACAGCGAGTGAAGAAGACGATGCCTTTGTTCACTGGGTGCACTATGTGCGTCGCCTCAGCAACATTTTTGCTCTAAGGGCTAGTGCCCATGCGGCGGATGTGCGTCTCGAACGCAAGCTTCGGTATGATTATGCCAAGCTTAAGGCCAGAGGCCAATTGCGCAAGCGCACGCGCTATGCTTCGGCTACTAAGGTAGCCGCGAGTGCTGGTCAGTCTGTGACCAACAACCCGCCAACCCGCACCACTAGTGGTGGTGAACGGCCTCGGCCTCGCGATGACCATGGCCACGATGCTCAAAAGCCTCCAAAGCATATGGGCAGTCTTGCCGAAGGGGTACCTCAAATTCCCATGAGTTTTCAGACTCAGGGTACCCACGCCACTTTACCAGATACTGATATTGGCCCTGACGACGACGTCGTTTCAGTAGTCTCTCGACATGGAATTGACGACACCCATGCTCATCGAGCAACGTCGGTGGCGGCCGGTGTACCGGTGGAGGCCCACGAGAAATTGGTTCTCGAAGTGAAGGGTCTTCAAGCGGCCTTGGGTAAGTCCCAGTGCATGCTGGATGCGATGCAAAACCGCCTTCAGGCGATGGAGCAAGCTCAAACTCGGAGCGAGGCTCAGTTGGACTTGCTGATTCGTCTACAGCAATCCGGGGCGGTGCCCTTGTCGTCGGCGCAAGCGCCTCCAAGTTCACATGGGAAGGATCCCGGTACGGCTTAAGTAAGCCTACGTAGAACACTGGATGTGTGCGCAATTTGCGTGGGAGGTTTAGCGTATACGCAAGTCCCCTTTGGCCGTGACCGTGAACGGTCCAATAAAGCGTGGACGCAACTTTGTCTTAAAGACAGCAGACACTACATTTGTAGGTAGATTTTTAGCATTGAGTAGTACTTGGTCTCCGACCTCATAACGTTCAATGCAATTTCTGCTTTGGCATCAGCTTGTTGTTTTTGGGTATCTTGGCTATCAGCCATTGCGTCACGCACATGTCTTAGGACATTTAATCGCGTTGCGAGAAACTCGCTTACCTGTTTTTGAACAGTAGCAGGGCTGATATCAGCAAGCCGATCGGCAACCTCTCCCCCACCAAGCCCTGATTCACGTAGTGATAGCGTTAACGGAACGCGAGGGTGAGTGAGACCGTTTATATAGAACGGAGTAAAGCCTGTTGAGGCATGAACAGCGTTATTCAACGCAAACTCAACAACAGGGAGCATTGAGCTCCAACGCCTAGGCGTATCAGCGCAAATACTGCGCAAAATGTCGTTGATGACGCGGTTTACACGCTCAGTTTGACCGTCGGTCTGCGGATGATCCGCTGTGGACATGTCCAATCGAGTGCCAAGCACCTTGAAGATAGACTTATAAAACTTCCCAGTGAAGCGGGGGTCTCTATCAGAGATAATTGCCACAGGCAAGCCATGTTGGCGAAACACACGGTCGATAAACAGCTTTGCTGTACCTTCCGCATCGATGCTATCCGGCACAGCCGCTAAGTGAGCCATCTTGCTCAATCGGTCAACAAAGACCACAATACCAGTGTTGCCTTCCGAATCTTTCGGTAGGCCAAACACAAAATCCATGCTCATGGACTCCCAACAACCACTGGGTACTGGCAAACTAGCCAGCGGCGCCGCCGCATGTGCCGAGGGTTTTACCCGTTGACACGTTTCGCACGTACGCACATAGGTGCGCACCCACTTATAAAGTTTGGGCCACCAATAGCTTTGGCTCACCGAGCTATAAGTCTTCTCACGACCGAGATGACCACTTAAAGCAGTATCATGTGCCTCATAGAGGATCCGATACTTTAATTCCTCATTATGAGGTACTACGATACGAGGGTTGTCCTCAATATCCGTGCGATAGCACAATAGGCCATTATCGATGGAATATCGATGTAGCCTCGCACGTAAACGTGCCGACAATTCTATGTCCGAGTCTTTAAACTCATTGCTCCCAAGAGCACGTAGCAAAGCTACACACTGCTCATCCTTGGCATATGCCGCACGGATTAAGTCAGTGACCGACGACGACAGGGTCGTAACATGAGCAAGCTCATAGTCAGGTCGACGCGATAGCGCATCAGCCAAAGCGTTTTGCTTACCTGGCTTGTACTTCACCTCGAAGTTATATTCGGCAAAGAAAGATAGCCAACGAGCCATTCTCTGTGAGAGATGAGGCGACTGTGTCGCAGTGCGCAATGACGCATGATCGGTATAGATCACAAATGGCTTCGAGCCAAGCAGATGGACTCTGAATTTGACAAGAGCATACTTCATAGCAAGTAGCTCTTTGTCATGAACAGGATAGTTCTTTTCAGCAGCTTTCAGCTGTCGAGATTCAAATGCGATGACGCGTTCGCGTCCGTCGACATCTGTTTGTAACAGAGCACTGCCTATGGCAAAGTCAGATGCGTCACAGACGACACTGAAAGGCCGGCCAGAATCGGGCAAAGCCAAAATTGGCGCATGGAGGAGACTCTCCTTAACTGCTTCAAAAGCATTATGTTCGGTGTTACCCCCAACACCAACCCACATCCTTTTTAAGGAGATTGGACAATGGCCGAGCCATATCTGCGTAATTTGCACTATACTTATGTAAGTAATTGGCAAGGCCAAGCCATTTACGCAAGTCCTTTTGGTTCTTGGGGACTGGCCAATCGACTATGGCTTTTACCTTAGCGGGATCCGCTCGAAGGCCTCGCTTCCCAATGAAGCACCCTAGAAAGGGAATCTCTTCTGCACCAAAGATGCACTTCGATGCGTTCGCATACAGCTTATTCGTTCGCATGCACTCGAGCACAGCTCGTAAATGATCAATGTGGTTATCCACATCTGATCGCCCATTCATTGCACGACTATGGACAAAAATGTCATCAAAGTACGTTTGTGCATAGCCTCGATGAGGTCTGAATAGTTGCGTTACCAACCGGTTAAACGTAGCCGGGGCGTTAGATAGCCCTTGCGGCATAACGAGCCACTCCCAAAGCATACCGCTCGGAGTACTCACCGCTGTTAGCGGAATATCGCTTGCTCGCATGAGCAGTTGGTAATAACCATCGACTAAGTCGAGTGCACTGTACAGTGTACATCCCGCCATATTGTTCTGAAGAACATCCTTTCGAGGAATAGGCGTCTGCGCCGGTATAGTAGCTGCATTAAGCTTATTGTAAGCATGCACAATACGCCACTTGCCATTTGGCTTTTTGACACAAAATGTCGGTGTTGAGTGGGGAGACTTGCTCTCACGAACCATCCCAGCCGCGTGCTTAGCACGAAAGAAATCGTCAATGACGTCGCACTGTTCTTTAGGCAAAGGCCACTGCCGTGTTACACAGTATTTAGTTCCAGGAACCAAGTCAATCTCATGACGTACACCTCTATCGGGAGGTAAGGCAGAAGGTGGGTTGTGACACACCACATCTTGAAATTCCTTAACTAAAGGATAGAACGGATCCGACGGATCTTTAAGGATCGAAGATCCACTTCGTGCACTAAGTGCCGCCTTTGTATCCTCTAGGACAGACTCATCCATTAACGAGGAAGAGTTCAACTCAGTATCAGGTCTAATGACCGCTAACTCGGATAACTCTCCTGCCTTCAAGGCCTGGCTAAACTCGCCATCAGACATTTCGTCTAGCTCACAAAGAGCGTCCACGGATGGAAGGGTTTCAAGGCAAACACTGCCATCGACCCGACCAGTCACTCCATTAACAAGTGTATACAGTGTATTGATAATCTCACTATGTGACTGTGAGGACGCCTGGCGCTTTACAGCTGCTACTCGGCGTCTCGATTGTCTCTTCGAGACCTTACTCCCCTTAGGGGTCGGGACAATATTGTCCCCATGGTTACTACCAACCATAGTATGCTCTATACGAGAGCTTTTGTCTTGACCGACATTAGGTGTGGTGCCCTCACGGCCGCCCACACCATATGGCGAATCGCCAACAACGCCATTACCGGCGTTAAGCGTGGTGCCCTCACGGCCGTCCACACTATACGGCGTATCGCCAACAATGTCATTACTGTCATTAGATGTGGTGCCCTCACGGCCGCCCACACTATACGGCGTATCGCCAACAATGTCATTACTGACATTAGGTGTGGTGCCCTCACGGCCGCCCACACTATACGGCGTATCGCCAACAATGTCATTACCGACATTCAGTGCGGTGCTCTCACGGCCGACCGCACTCGGTGTAGTTTCACGTGCCACCATACACACATCAAAGGAATCACGTCCTTGATCACTCGGCCCTAGGCCAACCATGCTTTCAGCATGCAGTGACTCGTTATCACAACGAGTACCACTCAACGGAGTACGTGCCGTTTCACTAGTTTTAGACGAGCTAGGCTCGAAACTTATGTTTGTAACATGGGAGTTAGATAACTCGGACATTCCAATATCCAGCACATTGACATCTTCTGTCAAAGGCTCGCGCCAATAGCGCTTTTGCTGCCTAGCAAAGGTGGGTTCATGACTCTCCAAAGCTTCGCTAGGAACATTGCGCGTAGCGCCTAAGGTCTTAGACCTCCAATCAATCCATGGCTCATGGCGCTCAAGCCAAGCCATACCTAGGATGAGATCATATCTCGAGTCCAAATCTAGGACAAGACAGCGCTCAATACTGTCAAAGTCTAAAAACGTTATACCTAAGTTCAATGGAACTTTAGGCACCGTTACGCGACTTCCAGTCGCTAAACGAACCGTGATAGAATCACCCTCATGCGCTGTAAGCGCCTCAACATAACGCTGACTTCCCTCAAGGGAACGGCGTCGAGCATAATTGCAAGACGCTCCAGAATCGATCAATATCGACCAAGGCTTCTCGAAGCCCTTAATTTTCGCCTCGGCGACCAACAAGCCAGACTTGTATCCATGCACCATACCCGTAGGTATGGTACTCTTTGGGGCTAAGCCCTGCATTCCTTTACCTCCTAAAGGTGTAACAGAACATAGTTCTTCCCCAGTAGGGCGCCCCGCGCCTACTGGGTGTCGGCATTTCCCCGTGCCATGCCAGACTTCTGACTCGGGGTCGAGTGTTGGCTCGTAGTCTGGCGTTGCTTACGCAAAGGGCAACCAGGCCGCAAGTGTTTAGTGCTTCCGCACATAAAGCATCGTCTTACAACGTGTTGCTGCTCAGCAGCTCGAAGCTCAGCTTCACCTCCATCTTCAGCATAGCTGAGATCCATCGGTTCCGGCCTATTATAGGCAGTGGTACCCGAATAGTTTGCTCTCACAGAGCGAGGATTGTATCCATTCCAACCAAGTCTGGCCGACTTGAAATTATGCTCAGCATTAAGAGCAATTCTCACAGCCTCTTCAAACGTAGAGGGGTGAACCCGAAAAACCTCGGTTCTGGCAATGCCAGTACGTAGACCTTCCATGAAGATAGTCACATGGACTGCTTCAGGCAGAGGGTCAGACTGCATTGCAGCCATGAGCGTTCGCAGCTCTTGGACATAGTCCGATAATTCATTCTTACCCTGGCGGGTAGAAAGAAAGCGTGAGCGCACGCGGTAAGCCTGGTTAGGTGGAGAAAACACCTGTACCAATTGTGATTTGAGCGACTCCCATGTGGGAAACGCTATGTCCACCGACGTGCTACACGTCAAGGCCCATTCTCTAGCTCTACCATCGAGCTTCGAGATAGCCAGCGAGACCTGTTGATGGTCAAGCGTGATCAGGCCTGATCTCATGGCCATCTCGATCTCACGGATCCAGAGGATGAGATTCTCACCCTCCTTGCCGGAGTAGTTTTTACGTCCACTTTAAGTGGACGAGGCTTAGCCTCTTCGTCTGGTACAGACACGAAGCGTGTAGGCATAGCCGACGCTATTTGGTCTTGGACCTGCCCTAAAAGGGTCGCTTCATACTGCATGAAGCCGTCAACACGTGCATTAAGCACTTCAGGACCTTGTGAAACAAGAAACTCCACGTACTCTGGACCCAAAGATGCGGTCAGCTTGTCAAGCGCGACCTTTTGGGCCTCAGATAGGGGAGTGATGCTTTCCATCCTCACAGAGGATCAGTCTTAAAGACTCAGGCGTAGATTGACTACAAGTGCTACCAAGTGTAGCGGAGCTACACAGCTCCTTAAGTCAGAGGAAGACTTAACGCTCTACGAGCAACTTAGTTCCAAAGAACTAACGACTTTACGAGTCAGCAAGCTTTACAGCTTCAGATCCCTGTTCCAGGGGACCTAACGATTCAGTGAATCGACAGCACTTAGTGCTCAAGAGTAGCTACCTCAAGGAGGTGTTGCTAACTCTTAGTGATCAGAGATCAACGATCAAGACGGCTCGCAAGCCACGCGTCTTTCAGATCAAAATGGGAACTGATTTTATTTAATGTTAAAGCCTATAGAATATCTTAATCCTACTCAAAGATCTTTCGTATCTAATGGCTGACACTTGTCAGCCCCTACAAACCGATAAGATATTCTATATCACCTTCACAGAAGCGAACCCTCAGGTGTGTAACACCTCTGGTACAAAGTACCATGATTTCGTGCAACCCCGTTACAAAGACGGTAAGAAGAAGCGAGTACTTGGTTAAAGTAAAAAGTAGAACTGTATTTATAATCGTTAATGTCTGTTAATAAACCACTATTCATCTTCATCTAACTATGTCTAAATACAAATGTGTAAATCAATTATCTGCTCACCACTCATTGCGTGCGTCTGTCGTGGCGCGTCTTCGTTGGTTGATATAATGGCCTATATCAACCAATTAGGAACTACTCGTAAGTGCTACAGAATATTTGTCCTTATGACAATATTCTGAGAATATAACTCTTATAGTTATATTCTATTAACAATTTCTTATAAATTGTTATGTAACGATTCACCCCGTTACAGTTAAGATGTGTTGTCGTGCGTGTAATTTGTCGCTGCATCTAATACAAACGTATTGAACACAAGGGACTCATTGCTGCTTGTGGGACGTGAGTCGTGGTATGAAGCTGTGACCGTCACTGCTGTCGGTTTTGGCTTCAGTAGGGGACCAGGTAGCTGTGGGGTGTTGACACAGATCATCTAACTCTTGTCGTATTGAGCCATTGCATGTCGGAGTATCAGGCATGATAAAATGGCCGCGAATGAGACCTATACTACTGCTGTGCTAAGCATGTTTCCGGTCTGGACCAGCATTCCGAGCGAAGACCGTGGCGTAAACGTTGTAACGACGGCGTGGCTGGCGCCCAATCTCAACACGGTTTTCGACGGCGTGGCGGCTCCTGAGCAGTAGAGAAAGTAAATGCAAACTATTTGTCTTGATATGACGTTTACTTATTGTGGTCAATGTTCTTCGAGACCCTCTGCTCATCACTTTGTCAGGATATAATTGCTGACATTACCTCCGACAGCTTAAGTGATGAGGTCTGTGCAATTGTCGATAGGGCTTTTTCTAACTCTGACAAAGAGGTAAAGCAGTGCTCTTAGCTCTTGCTCCCAGCATCCTCACGTTGAAAAGATACTGCAACGCGGAGTCGTGTGCCATCATCGCGTTGTTCATTCAGAAGGTGCTTTAAGTCAAAAATGTGGGAGACTATGTTGGTATGCTAAGAATCGGCACGAGAACAATCTGGTGACCGAGCGTTTGCAAAAGGTCGCAACGCTAAACTGTATCATAAAATTGTGTATCGTGACGTATGACGATAACCTCACGTAGACCCACTAATTTTGTGACTAGGCGATGATGGGATCGTAGAGCATGACTCAAAAACGCTTTTTATGTACAATTGTGTGCTGGAGGATTCAAGAGAGAAGCGGTAGTTTATCGAAGGAGAATGTTTAGACCTGCCCAAAAAGTTGGTCGTGCAATCGCGTGGATGCCTGACGCTCGGCCACGTAGCACCGTTCGAAGCTGCAGGTCCGGTGTCTTGCTCGTAAACATTGACGAGAGTCGTATGGTTGAACTCTCTCATTAAGTAAACGAATAGATCCACAGATTGTCACACCGCACAGAATGCGTACTAAAGCTGATGACCGAAATGTGAAAGGGACCAGCGCTTTGAAACGCTCCACGTTCGATAGATCGTGAAAAATTCAAGCACTTGCGACATCTGGAATGGTACGTTGACGATACCACAAGCAAGCGACCACCCAATTATTCATTGACGTCAGGATAACTGTTTCGAGAGTTGAGCAGGTTCATAGTAGTGGCTCTCGAGGCTAAGCAATACAAGGAGACTTGAGGAGAACCGTCTTGGTTGCTTTCGTCAGCTCAACCCAGCTCTCTAGCTATCTAGCGAATGTAATGGAGACCCCCTGCAACGACGGTATGTCGCCCTTTTTTTTACTGAACGGCACGTGCGGTGGTGCAAGCTGGACGATAGAGACAGCGAAATGCAGTGTCACGTCTACCCAAAAGAATCCAGAAAATACCTTGCGACAATCGATCTTGGCGATTTGAGAGCGAAAGGGTTTGCCCATGTACAGTTTACACTGGTGTGTGATTGCCGAAAGTGTCGCACTGTTTACGAGCTGGTAGTGCGACTGCATTGACACTGATCCTTCTACGACGTAGGACAGCCTCCCACCAGTAAGCAGCAGTGCATCGGGTCCTCGACCTCAGCTTTCGAGCTGCTTGTCTCCAGTTGTGATTCATCTCCAATTTCTCCGACTGGAATGCACATTGCGTCACTTCTTGCTGCGAGCCTCGTGGCCTTCACCTTCATTGATGGCCACAGCTCAATTCGTGTCGCGGCTGCGTCCATTGTGAGGGTCATGAGCTTCAATGTCCGCACTTCGAACGCCCCTGATCCATGTCCGAGCGGTTGTTGGCTGCAACGTAAGGAAAGATTCGGGATGCTTCTGGAAAAACACCCAGCCGACCTGATCTGCACCCAAGAAGGGACCCCCGAACAAATCGAGCACTTCCGGACTAAACTCGGCTTCAGCTACGTTGGACTTTGTGCGGGTAATTGTAGCGCGAACGAACGCAATGCCATTATGTACAAACCCGATCGTCTTCAGCTACTGTGGTCCAAAACCTTCGCTTTGGTTCGTAGTCTACCATCGATATTTTCCATGGACGTTCACTTTTACGCATAGTGGCGAAGACTAACGTGTTTTTATCTGTTTCTGATAGAGTGACACTCCCTACGTGCTGCCGTCCAACTCGTGGGGCCACGAATACCTCCGTGCCGCGGTCGTTGCTCGCTTCCTTGACCCTCAAAGCCAGCACGTAATCTGCATTCTGAACACGCACTTTGACGTCTCCATTGGCCACAATGAGTCAGCAGTTTTAGTGGCGCGACTACTACATTCATACTGCCAGCCTCAGGACGACGTGTTCATGACTGGGGACCTAAACACCGTACCTGAAACTGCTGCTGTCCAGTACCTTCTTGGCAATGCCCAGTTCAATGGATCATTTACGCAGTTGCCCCTGTACGAGACGCTGACTGCTGTGGGTCAGAGCGGGTTTACGTTCATCGGACCCGACTTCGACAACAGGACCAACAGCGCCAAAATCGACTACATCTTCGCGAGAAAAGAAAACAAAACGTGTCTGCGCAGCGGCGAGATTCTGACTGATCTCTTCAATGGCTACTCTGTCTCGGACCACGCGGTGGTGCTGTCGGAGTTCTGCCTCGGGGATGGCTGCACCAACTGTGTCAAGTAGGTGCTGCGCGTTAACGAGTTGTTGATTGTTGTGCTCACTAAATACACCGGGGATACACAGATAGTGATACGTTTTGCTTAACATCTCATTTTGGATTTTGAATACTGCGAGCCCGAATGTTGCGGTGACAGAGCGCAAAGTGAACGTGAATGCCGAACTTTGAATCTGCTTTTTGTCCGTCTATGTGTGCGTCTGTCAGTATGCTGGCGCGTGTGTGTGTCAGCTCGTTTGCAAAGGATGCTTGGTGTACCTTGCACAAGTGCGATATAGCCGGTCACCTCCTCATGGATTGATGTGCAATGTTGGTGCAGCTCTATGACGAGGTTACCGATTGCGACTTCAAAAAGCGCGAGCCGCACACGCACCGATGCTCGCTCGTGGTTGGCTTAGAAGTCACAAGGGCGAACAAAGGGCTAAAGTAGAGTTTCCGTAATGGAATATTCTTTAAGTCATTTATCTCTCTTACTTAATAAAATGTCGAGTCCCATGTTGGGCCTAGGCCAGATGTCTTTAAAATTCCCTTAGTTTTAATGACTAAAGCCTAAAAATTTCCACCATACAAATATTAAGCTACTGCCGGGGGACCACTTCAAAAAAATCATCTAGTTTGCTGCTTGAGGGATTTTTGCTGAAGATTTCACACCTGGATCTGCATCTTCTGAATTATGCCCGAGAACTCCTCTCCAGTCTCCTGCCGCAACCAGAAAGTCCAGAGCTCTGCGAGCATCGATGCAGCATTCCGAAGAGGGACGGGCGGTGCGGCCACGCTCTCGTCCTCTTTGCTAACACGTGCAGCGCCCTTCGCATCAACCCTATCCCAGCTAACCCTGCTATTTAATAATTCCCTAATTTAATCAAAATTTGGCAGTCCCAGCCATTTAAATAAGAGAGACTCTACTACAACAAGAGAATTCTTGATACTTAGTGGAAGCAAAAGTCTCGCACTTTTGGTAAACGGTAAATTTGATGTGATTTATATTCGTAATATTTGATCAACTACAATAGTAAGATTTTATGATCACTTTCCACCAATGTTTCAAATTGGGCGCGCACGCAGTAACGGGGCACCCTTTGTTCGGGGTGCCGCGAAACTTCACGTACACTAGTACGTGCAGAGGAAGCTATCTACTTGAACGACTCGATCAAGTAAGGTAAAAAGGGAACTGTATTTAATATAGTTAAGCTATCAATATAACTTCAGTCTTTATCCAACTAAATTTAACTACGCCGTCGTATGACGACAACCTGCCCACCACTCATTGCGCGCGTCTAGCAGCGATTGGTGGCAATCTATGTTTGGTATGTCTTAAATCAACCAATCTTGGAGCAGCGAATGAATATTATCCAAAAGGGGAAACATTCCTTCAATATTATCAATCTCGGATAATTTTGTTAGAATATTGTCATGCTAGACAATAACCCTATTGAAACTGTAACGGGGCACCCTAAAGCTTGTACTGGTGACAGTACAAGCTACTTATTCTGATGACAGAATAAGGCGGTGCCTCGTAACTTCACGTACACTCGTACGTGCAGAGGAAGACGGTAAGAAGAAGCGAGTACTTGGTTAATGTAGCGGGGTGAATCGTTACATAGCAATTTATAAGAAATTGTTAATAGAATATAACTATAAGAGTTATATTCTCAGAATATTGTCAAAAGGACAAATATTCTGTAGCACTTACGAGTAGTTCCTAATTGGTTGATATAGGCCATTATATCAACCAACGAAGACGCGCCACGACAGACGCACGCAATGAGTGGTGAGCAGATAATTGATTTACACATTTGTATTTAGACATAGTTAGATGAAGATAAATAGTGATTTATTGCAGACATTAACTACTATAAATACAGTTCTACTTTTTATTCTAACCGAGTACTCGCTTCTTCTTACCGTCTTCCTCTGCACGTACCAGTGTACGTGAAGTTACGAGGCACCGCCTTATTCTGTCATCAGAATAAGTAGCTTGTACTGTCATCAGTACAAGCTTCAGGGTGCCCCGTTACACCTGGTAGCACTTCGTAGTCCGTCCAAGGACCACGTTCCATCTAACATGAATATGTTGGATGATGATCAAAGCTTTCACGCTACGCGTGACGGCTATTCTCATTTAAGAGATGTCGAATGGGATGCGGTTGAACGGATGGGTTCAACCATGGGCATCCATGCTGTTAGCGTCATGCTAGAGGCTCTCAATAGAGATGCCCAACATGCTACTATCGCCAAGTTCATTCAAAATGAACTTGACGCTGAACGCGAGAAAGTAGCCTTGCTTCACCAACAAGGTTCTCAACAAGCAGAGTTGTTGAGAGAACAGGGTGCTCAACAGTTTGAACTGTTGAGACAGCAGCAGGCTGCTGCTGGCGGGTCGATGCACTCGCGTCGACCCGAGACCTTGAAGATTGACATCTCCAAGTATAGGGGGTCGAAGAGGACTCCCTCTTGAGATGTTTCGTCGAATTAGACGACGCCATAAGGGCGCGTCGCATCGACGACGGGGATATGCAAGCTGCATTTGCCCAGTCAAATCTGGCAGGACGTGCCAAGACTTGGGCACTGGGGCTCAAGTTGCACGACCCATATGCGTTTGGGTCGTTGGAAGTCTTCAAGTCGCGGCTCAGACAAACGTTTGAACCGCCTAGAGCTGAGTTCAGGGCTCGAACCGAACTCTTGAAGCTCAAACAGGGTAAGCGTGATGTGCACGCTTACGCCCAACATATAAGACATCTCACGAGTTGTATAAGTTCCAATCCGGTGGATGAACACACGTTGGTTTCGGTGTTCATGCAGGGTCTTGCGGATGGTCCCGTCAAGACTCACCTGTTCCGGCTTGAACTAGATTCACTAGAACAAGCCATTTCCATTGCGGAACAGGAAGACTTCAGTCTGAGACAGGCTCGCGCCAGCTCGACATCATATCGTCAGCCGAGACGATATGACAGCGGAGGTCCAGAGCCGATGGAACTCTGTTATGTAGAGAGCGAGAAGGCTCGCTCTACAGGCTACAAGAAGTTGCAGAGATGCAACAGATGTCAGAAGACAGGACATTACGCTTATGAGTGTAGTGCCCCTCATCCAGTGTCTCGCAACACTGGGCGTAGTGACCGTCCACCCATGAGAAAGGGGCAGGGACGAGGGTCCGCAGTTGGTGCAAAGACGCAACAACGGGATGGACCGTCAAAAAACGGACAGGATCAGTAGGTGCGGAGCACCCTACTGGTCTATCAACGTCAAGAGAATTTGTAGGCCTCTTGATGAAGGTTGCTCCCAACACACAAACGTTGTGCGTTGCTGCTCTAGGCAATGAGGTCTCACTCATTACCTTGAAACTCGAAGTGACAAATGAGTTGTCCCTTCGAGCTCTAGTCGATTGTGGGGCGTCCAACAATTTTGTGCGACGCCAATCGCTAGAAGATGGTCACTTCAAGTTTGTTGAATGGGACACACCTCCTACGAGGATGACGGTACGTCTTGCGACAGGCGCATCCGTAACCGTCATGAAGCGTATAGTGAAGATCCACTATACGCTAGAAGATACCCAATATGACGATGACTTTATCGTATTGGATTTGGATGACAAATTTGATGTCATCCTTGGAATACCGTGGCTCAGAAGGTACGAACCACGGGTAAACTGGCAACATCGGACAGTAACGATGCCTGCCGCTTGTTCATCAGATGTCCATCTGATGAACGTTTTGGAGCGTCCACAAGCGTGTGGATGTACTACGAGTGAGTGCGATGGCCTCACTTGTGGTACGGTCGTTAGTACGACTGCACAAAACCTTAGTGTACCAAACGATTACACTTCGGAGCAAAGTTCCGGCGGCTGTGAGGAAACACAGGCTGCGCCGAAGGTCCACCACTCGAATAAGTCGAGTGGACCGGGACAAATATGTATCCCTAGCGGGGAACATCTAGAAGAGAAACAATCGATCGCTCAGGTTAAGCGAAACGATAATCCTAGATCGACTGGAGAGTCTTTCGTAGAGGATCTCACTGTGGTTGCGCAACCCCAGCTAGAGGAAGTAAAGGGAATAAGTCCCAAGATTACAAATACGGCGGAAATAAGTTCCCCGAAACCCGCGGGAATAAGTCCCCGGGAAGCCGAAGGAATAAGTCCTTCGAAGCCTGAGGGAATAAGTCCCCAGGAAATGACAGAGACATTGAATGTCATAGTTAATAACGGATCAAGTGTAGGCGCTTATACACTTGATCTGATTGCGCCTCCGAAGTTGACTTCGGAGATCACTCAGTTGTCAACGCTCGAACATAAAAGATTCTTGCGTGATCTGCGTAGTGGCAAAGTCAAGCAGATCTGCATACTCGTTGCTGACGACGAGTGTGTAACCGACATAAGGTCAGCAACAGTGTTCACTGAGAACGAGAGAGTTCTCAGTAGTTCATCTATGGACGAGAGTGTCCTGGATGAAAAGACACGAATTGAGCGATATGACTCCCAATCATGGGAATCGCTCAAGAAAAATCCTCTCTATGAAGATTTGGTTGAATTCAAGGATGTATTCCCTGAAACTGTTCCGTGCGAATTACCGAAGGATAAAGGTATTCGACACGAGGTCGAGCTTAAACCAGGCTCGAAGTACTGTGTCATGAAGCAGTGGCCACTGCCTCGTGAGCAAGTACTTGCGATCGACAAGTTCTTTGCCGATCGTTTAGCTGCGGGCCATGTGAGGGAATCAACTTCCCCACATAGCTCTCCGACCTTCTGTGTGCGAAAAGCAACAGGAGGGTGGCGGATAGTGCATGCATTTAACAAGTTGAATGCTGCAACGGTACCGGCTCAGACGCCGATACCGAGGAAGGACGTAATCATTGATGGTATGTCAAAGAGTACCATCTTTTCGTCCATGGATTTGATGGATGGCTTCTATCAAATCCTTATGCGGGAACGGGATATACCCTATACCGCAGTTAGCACGCCTAGCGGCATGCTCTGGGAATGGCTAGTAATGCCACAAGGGCTTAGTAATGCCCCTGCCACTTTCAACAGATGTGTATCACATCTGTTGAGACCAGTACGAGAATTCGCGCCGAGTTATTTCGATGACGTATTCATCCATAGTCGAGCTATGGATGGAAAGTCGGACGTTGAGGTCTACAGGTACCACGTCCGACAGGTTCTTACAATCATGCGAAAGCATCAATTGTATGCAAACCTCAAGAAGTGTATATTTGCAGCAAGCGAAATACCACTTCTTGGGTGCATCGTTGGTAAGAACGGTGTACGTCCTGATCCCGAAAAGATCAAGGCGATCACCGACTGGCCTGTGCCGGTCGATGTCAAAGGTCTTCGAAAATTCCTTGGGCTAGCGGCGTATTTGCACTAGTATTCACGCAATTACGCCGAGATGACTGTGCATCCCTCTCATTTGTTGAAAAAGAACGAGAGGTGGTTATGGAACGCTGAATGTCAACGCTCCTTTGATGGTATCAAGCAGAGCTTGATACAATCCCCAGTCCTAGCAATAGCCGAGCAGGACAGGCCATTTCATGTGGTCTGTGATGCCAGCGATTTCGCAATCGGCTGTGCATTAATGCAGTACGATCTTGAAGGCGTTGAACGTGTCGTCTGCTATCAGTCGCGTCAGCTGCAACCAGCTGAGCGGAACTATCCAGTGCATGACAAGGAACTCCTTGCCATGAAGTACGCACTCGCGAAGTTCAGAGTCTATCTATTAGGAGATAGACCCTTCATTGTTTACACTGACCATGCGTCATTACGCACGGCAGTGAACAGCCCGCACCTTTCACAACGAATGGCGCGGTGGTTGTCATTCTTTGCAGAATACAACTTTACGGTCGAGTACAAACCAGGACGACTTAACGTCGTCGCTGATGCACTCTCACGTCGTCCCGACTTTGAAACAGTCGCGAAACCCAACAGTGAGACAGTCACTGTTGCGGTTATGACGTCCTCAGTCCCATCTACAACGTTGTATGATGATGTGAGGCGGGCATATGCCCAAGATGGTGAGATAGTGAAGTTGTTGACACATCTCTCCCAACCATCTCGAGAATCGTTGAAACGATTGTCGTCTGCGTATCGATCTGCATCAGATCGATACACTACTCGCAACGGGTTACTGTATTATACAGCCGTTTCTGGTGGCACACCACGTGTTGTCATTCCAGATGATACTGATCTGCGTTTGCGGATCATGTTCGAGTATCATGATGCTCCTATAGGAGGACATCGTGGCCGCGAGAAAACATATCTCACGGTAAGTCGAGACTTTTACTGGCCCCGCCAGTATCAGTTTGTGCGAAAGTATGTTCGCGCATGCGAAGTCTGTCAACGAGTGAAGTCAAGTCCTTCACTGCGTGCACCTTTACAGCCTCTACCGGTTACGGCTGATTGCTGGGAATCCATCTCAATGGATTTTGTCTTCGGGTTACCCAAAGACGCACGCGGGAATACGGGTATTCTCGTATTTGTTGACAGATTCAGCAAAATGGTACACCTCGTTGCTGTACCAGAGACAATCACGGCAAGTGGCTGTGCTTGTGTCTTTCTTGACACCATCTTCCGACTTCATGGGTTGCCCCGTGAACTCGTATCAGACAGAGATCCACGATTCACTGCTGATTTCTGGCGTTCCGTGTTCAAATCACTCGGAACGCGCTTGAAGATGTCGACATCTGATCATCCAGAGTCAGATGGTCAGACGGAACGTGCCAATCGTGTCCTTGAAGAGATACTTCGAGGATACGTACACTCCTTTAAGAGTTGGAGTGAGTTTTTGCCAATGGTAGAGTTTGCCATTAACAACTCGGTGCATGCGTCCACGACACATACACCGTTTTACGTGAATGGCTTGCGCCATCCGCGTGTACCCACCTTACTAGAGTGTAACTCTGGTTTAAGGGGGGGAGAGACTCGCGCGAGCAAAAACCGATTTGGTTCACGCTCATCACGCTCTGACGAAGAAGTCATTGCGTTTGATGCCGATATCGACAACATCGATATCGAAGAAGATGATGCCAGTGAGAGTGCGGAAGCCCTCACTGAAGAAAAGGTTGATGTTGCTGCAGTGCGCTCACAGCACACTGAAGCTAACGAGTCATCAGATGAGTTCATACTGGCTCGTGAAACGGTAGTCCGTTTTGTGCAAGACTCCATCGCCGAAGCGGTGGATAAGAAAAAGCAAAACGCTGACAAGAATGGAAGGGCAAACACTCTTTTATTCAATAAAGGTGACTTAGTCCTACTGTCTACGGTTAATCTACCAAAGCATGTAGTGACTAACTTGGGTAGTAGTAAACTTCTACCCAAGTACATTGGCCCATTTCGTGTATTGCATCGCCGAGGCAACGCATACACGATCGAGTTACCACGTAAGATGCGAACGCATCCCACGTTTTACGTTGGTCGGCTTAAGCCGTACCATCAGTACGCTGCTTCTTCCGATGAAGAACGCCCTTGCGCTCAAGCATCTCGCAGAGAGCCTTGTGCTCCCGATGGTGGGCATCGACACGGGTCTGAAGAGCAGTTATCTCAGCCCGAGACCGATCAATATCCACACGAGCTACCCGTAGCTCGTCAAAAGAGACGTCAAAGCTCTCTCAATCTCAATCTGAGCAAAAGCAAACTCAGCTCGATGCTTCGAGACAGCGTCCGCCAGTTGGAGACGTCTGTCCCGCTCATGCTCGAGATCGCCGCATAACGCTTGCGTTACGCGATCAAAGAAGCTCTCGGGAACACACGGATCCCCACGATCGTATGAAGAGCGTCTTCCCTCCTCCTCCACCTCCATTAGAGGACTCTCGAGGTGGCCAGCGCTATCTAGTTGAGCAGCTGTTGAACCACCGCGACGTGAACGGACGTCGGATGAGTTATCTCGTCCGGTGGCGCGGCTATCCCCCGTCCTGGGATTCTTGGGAGCCCCGCTTCCAACTGATGATCGACGTACTGGGTCTGGTTGAGCAGTACGACGCGGCACATCCTGTGCCGCAGAAGGACCGCCGGAGAAAGTCTTCCCGGCACGGTCGTAAAGGGATTTCAGGTTGTCAATCCCTTCGTACATCTCAGTAGAGATACGTACGCGCCACCACGGGCTAATAAGGAGGTAAGCCTCCTTAGGTGCTCGTGCAGAGTTGTTCACACAACATGGGCACGAGTCTCCCCAAGAGAGGCAGGGTAATCCTTTCTCCCTTGACAGACGATGCAGCTTGTAGCGTGAACCTGTCGGGGTTCACTTTTCAAACTTATCACGAGCTTTGATAAGTTTGTCGTTCCAAACGTCACGACCTACATCCTCAAGGTTATGGATATAGGCGTTCCACGCCTGAAGCAGTGAGGGACCATCACGTTTGTGATTCCCACTGTACCGTCGATGTCTAAAGAAAGCATTGATGAAGAATTCATGTTCATCGCGATAGTTTTTCGCGCTGGGGTCAAGGTGATGGATCCTTGACGAATCGAACAATCGTGTTCGATAACGATCACTTGTCGGCGACGACAAGTGATCCATGACAGATTTGGGAGGCATCCATGCCTTCTTCTCAGGAGCGAGACGCAACACATTGCGGTCCCGCTCTTCCTGCGATGTGCCGACAGAAGGACTGGCACCTCGCTGTGAAATGGTGTCCACAGAAGAACCGACACCACTATTAGCGCCCGAGTCTCGCGACCTCGAGCGCCTACGCTTGGGCGATGGTTCATCTGATTCATCAGATGAACCAAAGATGCTACGACGCATAGCATCATCCATGCCACGCTTGGCAGGCGGCTTAGATTCAATCGCCGTCGATACGGTTCCGTCATCCGTATCAGGAGAGTACGAGACACCGAGCTCGTACTCTGTGAAGACACGAGTGTCTTCATGACCGGCGCCTGCATCACCAAGTGACACAGGCTGGGTCGCTTCAGCAACCGATGAGACATCAGTTGCTGTTGTTTCTGCTTCGGCGTCCGCACAGAGACGTGCAGACGCGCTCTCAGCGGCCTTGTTCGCGCATCGTATGGGCTTGTTTACCATGCGATGAGATGTTGGAAAGTGGACGCGGACCAACAAGTGCAAACCCTGTCCCAAATGATTTGAGAAGCGTATCCATTTAGTCAATCAGTCACTAAAGTGACTGATGGTTACGGGGGGGGTGATGAAACGGGGTGAATCGTTACATAGCAATTTATAAGAAATTGTTAATAGAATATAACTATAAGAGTTATATTATCAGAATATTGTCATAAGGACAAATATTCTGCAGCACTTACAAGTAGTTCCTAATTGGTTGATATAGGCCATTATATCAACCAACGAAGACGCGCCACGACAGACGCACGCAATGAGTGGTGAGCAGATAATTGATTTACACATTTGTATTTAGACATAGTTAGATGAAGATAAATAGTGATTTATTGCAGACATTAACTATACTAAATACAGTTCTACTTTTTACTTTAACCAAGTACTCGCTTCTTCTTACCGTCTTCCTCTGCACGTACGAGTGTACGTGAAGTCACGAGGCACCGCCTTATTCTGTCATCAGAATAAGTAGCTTGTACTGTCACCAGTACAAGCTTCAGGGTGCCCCGTTACAGTTAAAGTAAAAAGTAGAACTGTATTTAGTATAGTTAATGTCTGTTAATAAATCACTATTTATCTTCATCTAACTATGTCTAAATACAAATGTGTAAACCAATTATCTGCTCACCACTCATTGCGTGCGTCTGTCGTGGCGCGTCTTCGTTGGACGATATAATGGCCTATATCAACCAATTAGGAACTACTTGTAAGTGCTGCAGAATATTTGTCCTTATGACAATATTCTGATAACATAACTCTTATAGTTATATTCTATTAACAATTTCTTATAAATTGCTATGTAACGATTCACCCCGTTTCATCACCCCCCCGTAACCATCAGTCACTTTAGTGACTGATTGACTAAATGGATACGCTTCTCAAATCATTTGGGACAGGGTTTGCACTTGTTGGTCCGCGTCCACTTTCCAACATTTCATCGCATGGTAAACAAGCCCATGCGATGCGCGAGCAAGGCCGCCGAGAGCGCGTCTGCACGTCTCTGTGCGGACGCCGAAGCAGAAACAACAGCAACTGATGTCTCATCGGTTGCTGAAGCGACCCAGCCTGTGTCACTTGGTGATGCAGGCGCCGGTCATGAAGACACTCGTGTCTTCACAGAGTACGAGCTCGGTGTCTCGTACTCTCCTGATACGGATGACGGAACCGTATCGACGGCGATTGAATCTAAGCCGCCTGCCAAGCGTGGCATGGATGATGCTATGCGTCGTAGCATCTTTGGTTCATCTGATGAATCAGATGAACCATCGCCCAAGCGTAGGCGCTCGAGGTCGCGAGACTCGGGCGCTAATAGTGGTGTCGGTTCTTCTGTGGACACCATTTCACAGCGAGGTGCCAGTCCTTCTGTCGGCACGTCGCAGGAAGAGCGGGACCGCAATGTGTTGCGTCTCGCTCCAGAAAAGAAGGCATGGATGCCTCCTAAATCTGTCATGGATCACTTGTCGGCGACGACAAGTGATCGTTATCGAACACGATTGTTCGATTCGTCAAGGATCCATCACCTTGACCCCAGCGCGAAAAACTATCGCGATGAACATGAATTCTTCATCAATGCTTTCTTTAGACATCGACGGTACAGTGGGAATCACAAACGTGATGGTCCCTCACTGCTTCAGGCGTGGAACGCCTACATCCATAACCTTGAGGATGTAGGTCGTGACGTTTGGAACGACAAACTTATCAAAGCTCGTGATAAGTTTGAAAAGTGAACCCCGACAGGTGCACGCTACAAGCTGCATCGTCTGTCAAGGGAGAAAGGATTACCCTGCCTCTCTTGGGGAGACTCGTGCCCGTGTTGTGTGAACAACTCTGCACGAGCACCTAAGGAGGCTTACCTCCTTATTAGCCCGTGGTGGCGCGTACGTATCTCTACTGAGATGTACGAAGGGATTGACAACCTGAAATCCCTTTACGACCGTGCCGGGAAGACTTTCTCCGGCGGTCCTTCTGCGGCACAGGATGTGCCGCGTCGTACTGCTCAACCAGACCCAGTACGTCGATCATCAGTTGGAAGCGGGGCTCCCAAGAATCCCAGGACGGGGGATAGCCGCGCCACCGGACGAGATAACTCATCCGACGTCCGTTCACGTCGCGGTGGTTCAACAGCTGCTCAACTAGATAGCGCTGGCCACCTCGAGAGTCCTCTAATGGAGGTGGAGGAGGAGGAGAGACGCTCTCCACACGATCATGTGGATCGGTGTGTTCCCGAGAGCTTCTTTGATCGCGTAACCCTTGCGTTACGCGACGATCTCGAACATGAGCGGAATAAGCGTCTCCAAATGGCGGACACTGCCTTGAAGCATCGAGCTGAGTTTGCCTTTGCTCAGCTTGAGAACGAGAGATCTCTGACATCTCTTCGTGACGAGCTAAGGGTAGCTCGTGGGATTGTTGATCGGTCTCGGGATGAGATAGCTGCTCTTCAGACCCGTGTCGATGCCCACCATCGGGAGCACAAAGGCTCTCTGTGAGATGCTTGAACGCAAGGACGTTCTTCATCGGAAGAAACAGCGTACTGATGGTACGGCTTAAGCCGAGCAACGTAAAACGCGGGATGCGTTCGCATCTTACGTGGTAACTCGATCGTGTATGCATTGCCTAGGCGGTGCAATACACGAAAAGGGCCGATGTACTTGGGTAGAAGTTTACTACTACCCAAGTTAGTCACTACATGCTTTGGTAGATTAACCGTAGACAGTAGGACTAAGTCACCTTTATTGAATAAAAGAGTGTTTGCCCTTCCATTCTTGTCAGCGTTTTGCTTTTTCTTATCCACCGCTTCGGCGATGGAGTCTTGCACAAAACGGACTACCGTTTCACGAGCCAGTATGAACTCATCTGATGACTCGTTAGCTTCAGTGTGCTGTGAGCGCACTGCAGCAACATCAACCTTTTCTTCAGTGAGGGCTTCCGCACTCTCACTGGCATCATCTTCTTCGATATCGATGTTATCGATATCGGCATCAAACGCAATGACTTCTTCGTCAGAGCGTGATGAGCGTGAACCAAATCGGTTTTTGCTCGCGCGAGTCTCTCCCCCCCTTAAACCAGAGTTACACTCTAGTAAGGTGGGTACACGCGGATGGCGCAAGCCATTCACGTAAAACGGTGTATGTGTGGTGGACGCATGCACCGAGTTGTTAATGGCAAACTCTACCATTGGCAAAAACTCACTCCAACTCTTAAAGGAGTGTACGTATCCTCGAAGTATCTCTTCAAGGGCACGATTGGCACGTTCCGTCTGACCATCTGACTCTGGATGATCAGATGTCGACATCTTCAAGCGCGTTCCGAGTGATTTGAACACGGAGCGCCAGAAATCAGCAGTGAATCGTGGATCTCTGTCTGATACGAGTTCACGGGGCAACCCATGAAGTCGGAAGATGGTGTCAAGAAAGACACAAGCACAGCCACTTGCCGTGATTGTCTCTGGTACAGCAACGAGGTGTACCATTTTGCTGAATCTGTCAACAAATACGAGAATACCCGTATTCCCGCGTGCGTCTTTGGGTAACCCGAAGACAAAATCCATTGAGATGGATTCCCAGCAATCAGCCGGAACCGGTAGAGGCTGTAAAGGTGCACGCAGTGAAGGACTTGACCTCACTCGTTGACAGACTTCGCATGCGCGAACATACTTTCGCACAAACTGATACTGGCGGGGACAGTAAAAGTCTCGACTTACCGTGAGATATGTTTTCTCGCGGCCACGATGTCCTCCTATAGGAGCATCGTGATACTCGAACATGATCCGCAAACGCAGATCAGTATCATCTGGAATGACAACACGTGGTGTGTCACCAGAAACGGCTGTATAATACAGTAAACCGTTACGAGTAGTGTATCGATCTGATGCAGATCGATACGCAGGCGACAATCGTTTCAACGATTCTCGAGATGGTTGGGAGAGATGTGTCAACAACTTCACAATCTCACCATCTTGGGCGTATGCCCGCCTCACATCATCATACAACGTTGTAGATGGGACTGAGGACGTCATGACCGCAACAGTGACTGTCTCACTGTTGGGTTTCGCGACTGTTTCAAAGTTGGGACGACGTGAGAGTGCATCAGCGACGACATTAAGTCGTCCTAGTTTGTACTCGACCGTAAAGTTGTATTCCGCAAAGAATGACAACCACCGCGCCATTCGTTGTGAAAGGTGCGGGCTGTTCACTGCCGTGCGTAATGACGCATGGTCAGTGTAAACAATGAAGGGTCTATCTCCTAATAGATAGACTCTGAACTTCGCGAGCGCATACTTCATGGCAAGGAGTTCCTTGTCATGCACTGGATAGCTCCGCTCAGCTGGTTGCAGCTGACGCGACTGATAGCAGACGACGCGTTCAACGCCTTCAAGATCGTACTGCATTAATGCACAGCCGATTGCGAAATCGCTGGCATCACAGACCACATGAAATGGCCTGTCCTGCTCGGCTATTGCTAGGACTGGGGATTGTATCAAGCTCTGCTTGATACCATCAAAGGAGCGTTGACATTCAGCGTTCCATAACCACCTCTCGTTCTTTTTCAACAAATGAGAGAGATGCACAGTCATCTCGGCGTAATTGCGTGAATACTAGTGCAAATACGCCGCTAGCCCAAGGAATTTTCGAAGACCTTTGACATCGACCGGCACAGGCCAGTCGGTGATCGCCTTGATCTTTTCGGGATCAGGACGTACACCGTTCTTACCAACGATGCACCCAAGAAGTGGTATTTCGCTTGCTGCAAATATACACTTCTTGAGGTTTGCATACAATTGATGCTTTCGCATGATTGTAAGAACTTGTCGGACGTGGTACTTGTGAACCTCAACGTCCGACTTTCCATCCATAGCTCGACTATGGATGAATACGTCATCGAAATAACTCGGCGCGAATTCTCGCACTGGTCTCAACAGATGTGATACACATCTGTTGAACGTGGCAGGGGCATTACTGAGCCCTTGTGGCACTACTAGCCATTCCCAGAGCATGCCGCTAGGCGTGCTAACTGCGGTATAGGGTATATCCCGTTCTCGCATAAGGATTTGATAGAAGCCATCCATCAAATCCATGGACGAAAAGATGGTACTCTTTGACATACCATCAATGATTACATCCTTCCTCGGTATCGGCGTCTGAGCCGGTACCGTTGCAGCATTCAACTTGTTAAATGCATGCACTATCCGCCACCCTCCTGTTGCTTTTCGCACACAGAAGGTCGGAGAGCTATGTGGGGAAGTTGATTCCCTCACATGGCCCGCAGCTAAACGATCGGCAAAGAACTTGTCGATCGCAAGTACTTGCTCACGAGGCAGTGGCCACTGCTTCATGACACAGTACTTCGAGCCTGGTTTAAGCTCGACCTCGTGTCGAATACCTTTATCCTTCGGTAATTCGCACGGAACAGTTTCAGGGAATACATCCTTGAATTCAACCAAATCTTCATAGAGAGGATTTGTCTTGAGCGATTCCCACGATTGGGAGTCATATCGCTCAATTCGTGTCTTTTCATCCAGGACACTCTCGTCCATAGATGAACTACTGAGAACTCTCTCGTTCTCAGTAGACACTGTTGCTGACCTTATGTCGGTTACATACTCGTCTTCAGCGACGAGTATGCAGATCTGCTTGACTTTGCCACTACGCAGATCACGCAAGAATCTTTTATGTTCGAGCGTTGGCAACTGAGTGATCTCCGAAGTTAACTTCGGAGGCGCAATCAGATCAAGTGTATAAACGCCTACACATGATCCGTTATTGACTATGACATTCAATGTCTCTGTCATTTCCTGGGGACTTATTCCCTCAGGCTTCGAAGGACTTATTCCTTCGGCTTCCCGGGGACTTATTCCCGCGGGTTTCAGGGAACTTATTTCCGCCGTATTTGTAATCTTGGGACTTATTCCCTTTACTTCCTCTAGCTGGGGTTGCGCAACCACAGTGAGATCCTCTACGAAAGACTCTCCAGTCGATCTAGGATTATCGTTTCGCTTAACCTGAGCGATCGATTGTTTCTCTTCTAGATGTTCCCCGCTAGGGATACATATTTGTCCCGGTCCACTCGACTTATTCGAGTGGTGGACCTTCGGCGCAGCCTGTGTTTCCTCACAGCCGCCGGAACTTTGCTCCGAAGTGTAATCGTTTGGTACACTAAGGTTTTGTGCAGTCGTACTAACGACCGTACCACAAGTGAGGCCATCGCACTCACTCGTAGTACATCCACACGCTTGTGGACGCTCCAAAACGTTCATCAGATGGACATCTGATGAACAAGCGGCAGGCATCGTTACTGTTCGATGTTGCCAGTTTACCCGTGGTTCGTACCTTCTGAGCCACGGTATTCCAAGGATGACATCAAATTTGTCATCCAAATCCAATACGATAAAGTCATCGTCATATTGGGTATCTTCTAGCGTACAGTGGATCTTCACTATACGCTTCATGACGGTTACGGATGCGCCTGTCGCAAGACGTACCGTCATCCTCGTAGGAGGTGTGTCCCATTCAACAAACTTGAAGTGACCATCTTCTAGCGATTGGCGTCGCACAAAATTGTTGGACGCCCCACAATCGACTAGAGCTCGAAGGGACAACTCATTTGTCACTTCGAGTTTCAAGGTAATGAGTGAGACCTCATTGCCTAGAGCAGCAACGCACAACGTTTGTGTGTTGGGAGCAACCTTCATCAAGAGGCCTACAAATTCTCTTGACGTTGCTAGACCAGTAGGGTGCTCCGCACCTACTGATCCTGTCCGTTTTTTGACGGTCCATCCCGTTGTTGCGTCTTTGCACCAACAGCGGACCCTCGTCCCTGCCCCTTTCTCATGGGTGGACGGTCACTACGCCCAGTGTTGCGAGACACTGGACGAGGGGCACTACACTCATAAGCGTAATGTCCTGTCTTCTGACATCTGTTGCATTTCTGCAACTTCTTGTAGTCTGTAGAGCGAGCCTTCTCGCTCTCTACATAACAGAGTTCCATCGGCTCTGGACCTCCGTTGTCATATCGTCTCGGTTGACGATATGATGTCGAGCTGGCGCGAGCCTGTCTCAGACTGAAGTCTTCCTGTTCCGCAATGGAAATGGCTTGTTCTAGTGAATCTAGTTCAAGCCGGAACAGGTGAGTCTTGACGGGACCATCCGCAAGACCCTGCATGAACACCGAAACCAACGTGTGTTCATCCACCGGATTGGAACTTATACAACTCGTGAGATGTCGTATATGTTGAGCGTAAGCGTGTACATCACGCTTACCCTGCTTGAGCTTCAAGAGTTCGGTTCGAGCTCTGAACTCAGCTCTAGGCGGTTCAAACGTTTGTCTGAGCCGCGACTTGAAGACTTCCAACGACCCAAACGCATATGGGTCGTGCAACTTGAGCCCCAGTGCCCAAGTCTTGGCACGTCCTGCCAGATTTGATTGGGCAAATGCAACTTGCATTTCCCCATCGTCGATGCGACGCGCCCTTATGGCGTCGTCTAATTCGACAAACCATCTCAGGAGGGAGTCCTCTTCGACTCCCCTATACTTTGAGATGTCAATCTTCAAGGTCTCGGGTCGACGCGAGTGCATCGACCCACCAGCAGCAGCCTGCTGCTGTCTCAACAGTTCAAACTGTTGAGCACCCTGTTCTCTCAACAACTCTGCTTGTTGAGAACCTTGTTGGTGAAGCAAGGCTACTTTCTCGCGTTCAGCGTCAAGTTCATTTTGAATGAACTTGACGATAGTAGCATGCTGGGCATCTCTATTGAGAGCCTCTAGCATGACGCTAACAGCATGGATGCCCATGGTCGAACCCATCCGTTCAACCGCATCCCATTCGACATCGCTCAAATGGGAGTAGCCGTCACGCGTAGCGTGAAAGCTTTGGTCATCTTCATCATCTAACATATTCATGTAAGATGTGAACGTGGTCCTTGGACGGACTACAAAGTGCTACCAGGTGTAACGGGGCACCCTGAAGCTTGTACTGATGACAGTACAAGCTACTTATTCTGATGACAGAATAAGGCGGTGCCTCGTAACTTCACGTACACTCGTACGTGCAGAGGAAGACGGTAAGAAGAAGCGAGTACTTGGTTAAAGTAAAAAGTAGAACTGTATTTAGTATAGTTAATGTCTGCAATAAATCACTATTTATCTTCATCTAACTATGTCTAAATACAAATGTGTAAATCAGTTATCTGCTCACCACTCATTGCGTGCGTCTGTCGTGGCGCGTCTTCGTTGGTTGATATAATGGCCTATATCAACCAATTAGGAAGTACTCGTAAGTGCTACAGAATATTTGTCCTTATGACAATATTCTGAGAATATAACTCTTATAGTTATATTCTATCAACAATTTCGTATGAATTGTTATGTAACGATTCACCCCGTTACAGAAACGGTTTGGTGTCAATTTCATGCAACGGGCTACCCCGTTACATTACCTCCCCCCTAACCATTAATCACCCGTTGATTATATAGAATCGATTGGGACAGGGTGACCACCGTTGGATCACTCTGGGATAGGGAGCACTTGTCGTTCAAATCCCATTCATTTGCCAATCCAACGCATGGTTTCGAAAATCACGCGAGTTGCTACTGCAGCAGCAATAAGGGCGGCTCCAAGCATGCGTGCAGCCGTGAAAAGTGCCTCTCACACCTCAGCAGCAGGTGATCCGTCGCCTGATGTTGTGTATCGTCCGCGTGGTGAGTCACCACGTGCGTCAGGTACACCTGTTGCGTCTGCAGTAGGTACCACGAGTCGTTTTCAAGATGGGTCTGAGATAGAGCTCATCTATTCCGGCGATTTGGATGATGCATCCGACTCGAAGGCGACACCTCACTCCTCGGGATCACCCGGGGCGGACGCTGCAAAAGCCAGGCTGACTGGCTCTGGTCAGCGCGGCAGTCTCATGACCGAGATCTTCGGATCGAGTGATTACTCCGATGAGTCTCCGCCTCACGCAAGTCAATCCAACGATAGGACACGTGGGAATGGTGGTGATGCACCTTAGCATCACCAAGAGCGAAGTAACTCGAGGGATCGAGCTGCTACTGGTGTCAGTGCTCATGCTGGCACCAATCAAGATGCCAGGGACCGAAATGTCCTGCGCCACGCTCCTCAAGTGGAGTCTCCGCGGATGCCGTCATCCAGAGAGTTGGACCGGTTGGACGGCACGACTACCGAACGGGATCGAATCTCGTCGTTCGACTGCAGGGAGCTGTCCTCCTAATTCTAGAACGGAAACTATCCGTGCTGAGGAAGAATTCTTCACCGATGCATTTTTTAAACATCGGTGGTACAATGGCAGCCGTGTTCGCGACGGCAAAATCTTGGTGCAGGAATGGAATACCCTCATCCACAACATCGAGTGCATTAGCCGTGAGACCTGGCTCGCCAAACTTGATACAGCTCGCATCAGATTTGAGAAACCCAATCCAGTCGGGGCGTGATACAAGTTGCACCAGCTTTCTAGAGAGACAGGATTACTTTAATTCTCGTGGGCTGGTTCATGTCCAGGTTGCCTGGACAATGCGAATCGTGCCCCTAGGGAGATCTAACTCTATAAGGTTCCATAATTGAGGGCGCGCATCTCTGCTGGGGTGGCCGAAGGGATTGACACTTGCAATACCTGTACTCGAGTTTGTGGAGGTCGTTTATCCAACGGCCCTTCTTCGAACGCAGCGGGTGGGTCTCGTCATATTGCTTGACAAGACCCTGGACATCAATAGATAGCTGGGCGTAGGGCTCCCAGCTGTCCTAAGTCGGGAAGTGTCACGCCAGCGGACGAGCTAACTCGTCCGGACGCCATTCACGTTGCAGTAGTTCAAACTGCTCCCCTAGAAAGCGTTGACCAACGCCTGAGGCCAATAAAGGATGTGGTGGCGGCGGGAACACCTGATCCGGCTCGAGGGTCGGATCAGCTTGATGTTTAAGAGCTGAACCGTGTAAAGGATCACTTACAAGATGAACTGGCTCATGAACGGACTCGGCGTTATGATCTCCATGATCTTGTAAGAAGTAATTACAATTCCTTGGCACACGACCGTTCGAATGATCTTGCCGCTTTTGCGTTTGCACAACTTGAGAACGAACTTTTGATTAGTTCTCTTTGTGACGAGCTGACTGCACTTCATCAGGACATCGCTCAACTGCGTGAGAAGGTCACTTCGCTAGACAACCAGACTGGCTCGTCGAAACGGGACCACTCGAAGGTAGTCTCGGCCCTTGACCGCGGAGGTGTTCTTCGCCTCTCAAAACAGGCTCGTAATGAAAGTACGGGCGGAGACGTCAAACGTAAAACGTAGGATGCGTACGCATCCTACGAGGCATTTCAATCGTGTATGCTTTGCCCATCCGGCGCAACACACGAAATGGACCGATGTACTTGGGCAGTAATTTGCGGTTGCCCACGTTTGTCACTGCGTGTTTTGGTAGGCTTACTGTAGACAGTAAACTAAGTCTCCTTCATTAAATGAAAGGACGTTTGCTCTTCCATGTTTGCCTTAGTTTTTTATGCTCGTCTATTGTATCTTCAATAGAGTTTTGAACGAAGCGGACAACCGCTTCGCGAGTCAGCAGAACTTCCTCTGCTGATTCATCCTTGTTAACAGCAGTGCGCTTCGTGTGCACTGCTAAAAAATTGTTGTCTTCATCGTTGAGGGCATCATCGTCCTTACTGTAGCAGTCGTTGGAGATGCTGAATATAACAGCATTGTCATAACTATCATCGATGTCGATGTGACCGACGTCGGTATTCATCACGTCGACAATGGTTTCGACGTGTGATGAGAAAGAACTAGATCAATTTTGTTCGAGCGAGTCCACCACCCCTTTAAACTAGAGTCACACTCTTAGAAGGATGGTAAACGTGGATGGCGTAGGCTATGCACGAAAAACGCTGTACGCGTTTTCGACGCACACATCGAGTTGTTGATGGAGAATTCCGCCATCGGCAAGAGCTCACTCCAGCTATTAGACGAGTGGACGTACCCTCGAAGTATCTTTTCGAGGACGCGGTTGACGCTTTTCGTCTGACCATCTGTTTTAAGATGGTCAGAAGTTGACATCGTCAAACGCGTTCCAAGTGCTCGAAAAACGAATTGCCAGAACCTTGCTGCGAAGCGGTGGGCCCCTATCGGACACGAGTTCACGGGGTAACCCGTGAAGTCGGAACATAGTATCGACGAGTACAAGACCACAGCCCTGGGCTGTAATTTACTCCGGTACAGCAACACGATGTACCATCTTGCTGAGCCGATCAACAAACACAAGGATACCAGTATTCTTGTGATCGTGTTTGGTAAACCCAAAGACGAATTCCATTGATACGGACTGCCAGCACTCTGCCGGAATCGTTAGAGGCTACAAGGGTGCACGGGATGAAGGAATAGGCTTAACCCGATGGCAAACTTCTCAAGCGCGAATATATTTGCGCACAAACTCATACTGGCGTGGCCAGCATAAGTCACGACTTACCGTGGGGTAAGACTTTTTTCCACCAAGATGGCCACCGTTGGGTCATCGTGACACTAATTCATGATGATCAAGCGCTAATAGTTATTAGCGGAAGACACGGTGTGTGTCGCCGTTGGCTGATGCATAGTACCGCAGTCCATCACGAGCCCAGTACCGTTCGGTTGAAGAGCGGTATTAACGTCAATCTTTTCAACGCTTGATTACACGAATCGTATACGTAATCCATATATCGCAGAAGGGACTCATCTTCTACGTTTGCTTTTCGCACGTCTTCGAGCAGATTCGACGACGAAACACTCACTGATAGCGTTGCAAGAGTGGGATCACCGTTACTGTTGGGTTGAGAAGTCGGCTCAAAATCAGACCGATGCGAAAGAGCATCAGCGACGACATTAAGTCGTCCTGGTTTATACTCGACGAAGAAGTTTTACTCCGCGAAAAAAGACAGCAACCTTGCCATTCGTTGCGATAGGTGTGGACCTTTTACGGCCGTGCGTAACGACGCATGGTCGGTATTAACGATGAAGGGCCTATCTCCTAAGGGATATACCCAAAACTTAGCCAGTGCATATTTCATGACAAGGAGTTCCTTGTCATGCGCCAGGTAGTTACGCTTAGCTGCTTGCAGCTGATTTGATCGGTAACAGACGACACGCTCAACGCCGTCTGAGTCGTACTGCATTAACGCACAGCCGATTGCAAAATCGCTGGCGTCACAGACCGCATGGAATGGTCTGTCCTGATCTGCAATCTCCAATACAGGCGATTTCATCAATCTTTTCTTGATACATTCGAAGGAGTGCTATTACTCAGCACTCCATGACCACCTCTCGTTTTTCTTTAGTAGACGAGAGAGATGTACGGTCATCTCGGCGTAGTTGCGCGAGTACTTGTGAAAATACGCTGCCAAGCGAAGGAACTTTCGAAGTCCCTTGACGTCGACTGGCACAGGCCAGTCGCTAATCGCCTTAGTCTTTTCCGGATCAGGGCGTACACCGTTTTTACCCACGATGCAGCCAAGAAGTGGTATTTCGTTCACTGCGAATATACACTTCTTGAGGTTCGCGAACAACTTATGCTCTCGCATAAGTGTAAGAACCTTCCGGACGTGTATTCTATGAACCTCCAAGTCTGTCTTTCAATTCATAGCTCGGCTATGGACGAAGACATCGTCGAAGTAACTCGGTGCGAAGTCTCGCACCGATCGCAACAGATTCGTAACACATCTGTGGAACGTTGCAGGGTGTTATTGAGCGCCTGTGACACCACTAGCCACTCCCAGAGCATACCACTGGGGGTGCTCACTGCTGTGCATGGATTGTCCCGTTCACGCATGAGGATCTGATAGAATCCATCCATCAGATCCATGGACGAAAAGATGGTACTCTTTGCCATACCATCTATGATGACGTCATTCCTTGACATCGGCGTTTAAGCCAGTATCGTTTCAGCATTCAATTCGTTGAACGCGTGCACTATCCGCCACCCTCCTGTGGCCTTTCGTACACAGAAGGTCGGAGAGCTGTGTAAGGATGTAAATTCCCTCACCTGACCAGCCGCTAATCGATCGGCAAAGAATTTGTCGATCGCTGTTACCTTTTCACGAGGCAGTGGCCACTGCTTCATGACACAGTATATCTAACTGGGTTTTAATTCGATCTCATGCCGAGTGCCTTTGTCATTGGGCATATCTCATTGCACAGATTCAGGAAAACATCCCTGAATTCGACCAAATCCTCATGCAAAGTGTGTTTTAAAAAAGACTCCCAAGATTGAGACGTGTGTCGCTCAATCCGGGTCTTCTCATCGAGGACACTCTCGACCATAGATGAACTACTGAGAGCCCGTTCGTTCTCAGCAAACACTTGTGCCGATCGTATATCGGCGACTTACTCATCCTCTGTGACGAGTACGCAGATCTGCTTGATCTTGTCACTACGCAGATCTCGCAAGAATCTTCTAGACCCTAGCGTTGGCAACTTGACCACCTCCGAAGATGACTTCGGGGGCGTAACCAGATCAAGTGTTTAAGCGCCTACACTTGATTCGTCAATCACCAAAACATTAACTGACTCGTTGATTTCCAGGGAAACACATCCACAGGCGGTTGGGGATCCACACCCTCAACATAACTCTCTCGGGAGTTAGTTCTTTCAGGAACGCCGTAATTTTCTTTCGTCACGGGTACTATCACGGTCACGTCCTCTTCGATAGACTCTCTTTCAGTCGAGCGGGCTTGCTCTACGATCGACTCTCTAGTAGTCGATCTCGCTTCAACGTGTTGTCCATCCTGAACAACACTAGTCTCTCTTCTCGAATGTACTCTTTTTGGTGTGTATCCGTGTTCCAGTCCACTCGATCTCTCCGAGTGGTGAACCTTCGGCGCAGCCTCTGTCTCTACACAGGTGCCGGAAGCTGGTTCCACAGTGTAGTGGCCTTCTACTCTGTGATCTTGTGCAGTCGTACTAGCAACCGTACCACAAGTGAGGCCATCGTATTCACTCGTAGTACATCCACACGCTTGTGGACGCTCCAAGACGTTCATCAGATGGCCATCCGATGAACAAACGGCAGGCGTCTTCACGGATCGATGCTGCCAGCTAAACCATGGCTGGTACTCTCTAAGCCATGGCAGACCAAGAATGACATCAAATTTGACATCAAAATCTAGTACGATAAAGTCATCATCGTACTGTTTTCCTTCTAGCGTGTAGTGGATTCCCACTACACGTTTGTTCGCTGTTACAGATGCGCCTGTAGCAAGGCACATCGTCATCCTCGTTGGAGGTATATCTCGCTCAACATAGTTAAGCCTACTATCTTCTAGAGACTGGCGTCGAATAAAACTGTTCGAAACCCCACAGTCAACTAGGGCGAGAAGTGAAATTCCACTTGTCACTTCGATCTCCAAAGTGATGAGAGTTACCTCATCACTAGAACAGTAACACACAGCGACTGTTTATTAGGAGCAATCTTCGTCAAGAGTCCTGCAAATTCTCTTGACGTTGCTGGATCAGCAGGGTGCTCCGCCCCTACTGACCCTGACCGTTTTTTTGCGGTCCGACTTGCTGTCGCGGTTTAGCGACTTGGTCTGACCCGCGCCTCAAATTTCTCCTCAGCTAATTGCATTCATCAAGTCCTGTTCTTGGACGTGATGCGATGCTTGGGAAACTGCACTCATGAGCGTAGTGTCAAATCTTCTGACAGCGGTGGCACTTTGCTGTTCGCTTGTGACTCAGAGAGCGAGCGTTCTCGCTATCGATGTAACAGAGATCCATTGGTTCGGGACCTCCTGTTTCCTGTCGTCTTGTCGGACGATAGTTTGACGAGTTAGTCTGAGAATGTCTTAGGCTGAAATCTTCTTGTTCCGCATACTCTATCGCCTTTTCCAGCGTATGGAAGTCCTCTCGGAACATGTAGGTCTTCACCGGCCCATCTACAAGGCCGTAGATGAAAACGTTGATAAGCGTGTGCTCATCAACAAATTATCCCATGACGATACTCGCAAGGTAGCGAAGGTGTTGTGCATAAGTGTGCACATCACGCTTACCTTGCTTTAGCCTCAAGAGTGCAGAGCTTGCTCTGAACTCGGCTCTCGGCGGCTCAAACGTTTCTTTGAGCCGAGACTTCAAGATCTCCAATGACCCAAACACGTTTGGGTCGTGAAGCTTGAGCCCTAAGGCCCAAGTCTTTGCTCGTCCCGTCAAATTTGACAGGGCGAAGGTGACTTGCATCTCGCCACCCTCGATGTGACGGGCCCTGATGGCATCGTTTAACTCGACGAACCATCTCAGAAGGGAATCTTCATCGGTTCCCTTGTACCTTGCTGTATCCATCTTCAAGGTTTCGGGTCGACGAATGTGCGTTGGTCCGCCCATCGACTGATGAGAGCCTTGCTGCTGTAGCAAGGCTATCTTCTGTCGTTTGACGGCAAGTTCCCCTTGTAGGAAATTGTTGATAGCAGCATGCTGCTGGTCTCTGCTTAGAGACTCCAACATACCACTGATGGCGGGTTCGCCCATGAGTACACTCATGCGACCGACTACCTCCCATTTTGAGTCACTCAGATGGGAGTAGCCTTCACGTGTGACGTGAAAGCTATAGTCTTCTACGTCCAACATGTTCATGTTGGACGGACACTATGTAGTCGCTGGACGGACTACGAAGTGCTACCAGGTGTAACGGGGCACCTTTTGTTTGGGGTACCGCGAAACTTCACGTACACTAGTACGTGCAGAGGAAGCTATCTACTTGAACGACTCGATCAAGTAAGGTAAAAAGGGAACTGTATTTAACATAGTTAAGCTATCAATATAACTTCAGTCTTTATCTAACTAAATTTAACTACGCCGTCGTATGACGGCAACTTGCCCACCACTCATTGCGCGCGTCTAGCAGCGTTTGGTGGCAATCTATGTTTGATATGTCTTAGATCAACCAATCTTGGAGCAGTGAATGAATATTATCCAAAAGAGGATAACATTCCTTCGATATTACCTATCCCGGATAATATCGGTAGAATATTGTCGTACTAGACAGTATTCCTATGGACACCATTTGGTGTCAATTTCATGTAATGGGTTACCCCGTTACAGTCAACCCTTCAAGGAACGGCGGTTCTTTGATCGATGGCCCAATGACCACTACCTTCGTCGAACTGTCACATCTTAATCATACAAGACACTGCAAATAATGTCAATCTCACGATTTAGAGTTAAAAGTGTAGACTTAGTTCTCTAGCGGCAGTGGTCTGAGTTCCGGACGACCTTGGCGGCTAATAGAATCGTGATCCACTAGCACGTTACTTTATCCAGCTTCGGATTGTACAGCCAGCTTTTTAGGACCGAACAGTGATACATTCGCCTCGCGGGACACAAAAAATTTCAATGCCAGGTAAATCAACTTTGCTGCCTCTACAATACCATCTAGTCCAGAAGTAAACTCCGACGTCTCCAAAAATGATTAAGCCGTTCAGGGAAATAGTCCAAAATAACGCGCATAAAAAGCATCAATGACCCGCAAGAATGAGTGCTGGCAAGCTGACGATTTTTGCTTGTCGAACGGTCTTGACAATACGTCGGCCTTATTGAAATACATGGTACCCGACAAATTTTTGAGGCTAGATACGATAAAGTCGCTCGCTATATCATTCTAGCTCTGCCCTGCTGTAACGGGGTGGCACGAAATTATGGTACGTTGTACCAGAGGTGTTACACACCTGAGGTTACCCCTCTGTGAAGGTGACATAGAATATCTTATTGGTTTGTAGGGGCTGACGAGTGTCAGCCATTAGGTATGAAAGATCTTTGAGTAGGATTAAGATATTCTATAGGCTTTAACAAAAATAAAATCAGTTCCCATTTTGATCGGAAGGACACGTGGCTTGCGAGCCGTCTTGATCGTTGATCACTGATCACTAAGAGCTAGCGACACCTCCTCGAGGTAGCTACTCTTGAGCACTGAGTGCTGTCGATTCACTGAATCGTTAGGTCCCCCTGGAACAGGGATCTGAAGCTGTAAAGCTTGTTGACTCGTAAAGCCCTTAGTTCTTTGGAACTAAGTTGCTGGTAGAGCGTTAAGTCTTCCACTGACTTAAGGAGCTGTGTAGCTCCCCTACACTTGGTAGCACTCGTATTCAATCTACGCCTGAGTCTTTAAGACTGATCCTCTGTGGGGATGGAAAACTCCACTCCCCTATCTGAGGCCCAAAAGGTCGCGCTTGATAAGCTGACCGCATCTTTGGGTCCAGCGTACCTGGAGTTCCTTGTTTCACAAGGTCCTGAAGTGCTTAATGCACGTGTTGAAAGCTTCATGCAGTATGAAGCGACCCTTTTAGGGCAGGTCCAAGACCAAATAGCGTTGGCTATGCCTACACGCTACGTGTCTGTACCAGACGAAGAGGCTAAGCCTCGTCCACTTAGAGTGGAAGTAAAAAACTACTCCGGTAAGGAGGGTGATAACCTCATCCTCTGGATCCGTGAGATCGAGATGGCCATGAGATCAGACCTGATCACGATTAACCATCAACAGGTCTCGCTGGCTATCTCGAAGCTCGATGGTAGAGCTAGAGAATGGGCCTTGACGTGT